AAAACACTGTATCAATTCCAGCTCTGAGATCCTGGCTGTCTGAAAGCAGGTTTCTGGGGTTTTGTTTAGCTTCTATATTTGTAACTATGTTTCAAACTGCAAGCTCAGAGGCCGTCAGAGGCAGGCGGGGAATGTTGGAGTCCTCCGCCACTGAAGCAAGCGAGCCTCTTGTTAGTTTCAAGCTGTCTGGCTGCCATCCGCCATCTTGGCTGGCAGTTAATTTGTATATCGCCCTGATTAGCCAATGGTCAGGGTAGCGGATGTACGCTAATTACCATGTTTCTCTTTTATTAGATAGGATTAGTCAGTTCTTATTATTGCAGTAGCTATGTGGTATAAAGTTGCTTAAAGCACTGAATTAGAGAACACTGAAACACTGCTCCTAAGCAAATGTGGTGTTAGTTTCCAGACACATCTAATCACAATATTTTTGTCTATCTATGAACAAAACCTACCTGTATTTGCATTTCTATTTTAATTTATGCCTAAATGAGCTCATGTAAAGAAAATCACTTGAAAGAAAAAGAATTGAGGTACTGACAGTGGAAGATTTAAAAATCAAATAACCTGTCTTCGTTGGAAAAAATTCATACATCAGAAATATTAAATTTACAAAACTTATCCAGTAAGTTGTTAATAAAATTATATTGACAGATGGATCTGTCCACATTGATTGCAACAGTAGGAGAAATCAGAGGTAGTATGGGAGAAACTGAATGACAAATGATGAGGCAAACTTCATCTGAGAAGATAACAAAGCAAAATGATAAAAATGTATATGTTAATTAAAAACATGATCATTGAGAGTAGAAGGCAAAGATAAAGAAAAAAATGAAAGAATGAAATACACAGTGAAATGTGTTAATTGGACTTGCCTTTTTCTTGTCCATTCTTACCTGAAAAATAAAAGAAAGAACCAGTTCATTAATGAGAGCACAATGTTAGGAAGGAGAATAAAAATTTGAAACCCTTTTATAGTTTGCTCCATGGTGTAAATTGATCTATACCTCTGGTTCATCAAACAGAGACAAAACTCTTTTACATTATCACACCTATGGTGCAAAAGGAATTAACACAATAATACAAGATAGCACAATGGGAGGAGATAAACTTTAGCATCTTCTGAGATAAACTGAATCAATCATTTGTGTTTCATTGGGCTTTCCTTTTTTTAAAATAAAGTGCAAACACTCTCACATATATGAGATAGATACTTAAAAAGCATATTTTTTAATACTTTTTGTGCTTGCTTTTATATGTTTTTTGGCTGCTACTAAATTCATGTATACATTAAAACACCCATCTGTCCATGACCGTTTCTGTAGCTATTGTCATATGAATCCTTCGCTGTAGATTAAATAGATATATTACTAAATTTCATTCCTTTTTGAAAAAAAATTATAATTAAAAAATATCAGTAGGAAGAGAAGGATGCTAAACCTTTAATGATTATATTAATGTTGTATGAAAAAAATATTTTAGATATATCTTAGGGTAACTTTTCATGCTATGAAATTAAAACTTTGTAATTGAGATATACTATTAATGACATTTTATTAAGTTATAATGACTTTCTTCAAACATAAAATAATTTCATTTTGAAAAACTAATGATTTTGTCAATGGAAATAAAAACAAAAGTAAAAACACAATGGCGGGAAAGAAAAAGGAAGAAACCTGTAAGATTATGCAAAATATTTGTATACTGCCAAAAACTTGGGTTATATAATCAAAGGCAATGGAACAGTGATCCTTGAGTTCACTCTCCAGCAATGAATGACTTCTGAATTTACACGTTATTTGACAGAACAATGAAAGTTTGGAGTCTTCTTCCATTTAATAAAATTTGGGGAATTATTGATAGTATAGTAATGGCCCCATCAACTTGAATACTTAAAAAGGTCCCAACTTAAAGGACATTTTCTAGAAATATATGAATGGTAACCATGTGCCTATTTTCCTAAGCTCCTTCATCTGACAATATTCATCGTGTAACTATGGCAAGTCCTTGGAAGACAGATGAAGACAATATTGTAGAGAAAGAAAGGTATGGAACCAAGTAGGGTGCAATGATAATGATGGAAGGTAACAAAACAGAAATGGAGATAAATTAATAAGAAACATGTTAATATCCAAAAATGGAGGTTGGAAAATTGTACATCCAGGAGAAGGGGAGCCAACATATAGAGAAAAAGACAGGGAATGGCAAATACACCAAGAAACAAGTCAAAGAGTTTTTGGATATAGGGTTGTCAGAAAAATATATAAAATAATTTCTTAAGATCATCTGGCAAATAAAATAAAAATATCTGTGTAGCACAAATGGTGTTGCTCAGTGTTTGAGCATCAACCTATGAACCGGGAGGCCACAATTTGATTCCCTATAAGAGCACATGCCCCAGTTTCAGGCTCAATCCCCAGTAGGCGACATGGAGGAGGCAAATCAATGATTCTCTCTCTCTGATGTTTCTATCTACCTCTCTATCCCTCTACCTACCTCTCCAAAATAAATAAAAATAAAATAAATATTTGAGTAAACACTGTGGAAAACAAGCATAAAGAATATTGGTTCTTTGAAAAAATTGAACATAATATTAAACATATTGGAATGTAGATAAACATATACACATGTATGCAGTAGTGTTGCAGTAGTCAAATGAAGCCTGTTAAATTCATGAAAAAAAAAATATTCCTAAACTCCATTCCCTCTGAAAATAAGTATACATCTAAAAAATATCAATAGGAAAATTAAAATGTTAAACCTTTAATGATTACATTGTCCCTTAAAAGACTTTTCTATTATATTTTAATTTGATTGCTCCTCATAGTATTCACATAAAAATTCAGAATTGATAGATATATTATCATTGAACTTTCTTTGTGATATACAATCTTTTCTATAAGAATTTTAAAGAGATTGAAGTTTTCATAATTAATATGTTTAATTATGAGTTTGGTAATACAAACTCAAAGAAAAAAGAACAAATTATATGTTTAGAAAGAAAAAAGAGAAAAAAATTGTACAATTTGTATTGTACAATTGTATTTGTATATATGGGGTCACTTTGGAATATATACAAGAACTGTGGGAGAATGAGACTCAAGTTCATACTTTGTCAATGAATGACATCAGATTTACGAAGCCTTTAGAGAACAAAGCATGGTGAATCTTCCATTGTGAAGTTTGGACTTTCTCATCTCACATATTTGAATACACAACTGATATTCTATTTTGAAAACCATGTGCTTATCAACCTAATGCCCTTCATCTCACCAAATGCTTAGTAAAATTATTGCAAGTCTCTGGAAAAAAGGGAAAAACAACAGGGAAAAAATGCTATAAAATGGGGGCGGGGGGGAGGGTGAAGAATTAGGAAAGAATGAAATGTGTAGGTAAATTAAATGGAGAGAAATTAACATGGGACAAGTTCATAACCAAAATACTGGGGTGAAAACAGTAGACTTCAAGGAAAAAATCAGGGCAACTGATGGCAGATAGAGTAAAAGGCAAAGAATATAAAAGACACCAAGAAAGCAATCAATTTAAAGGGGTTTGGGAGTAACAGATTGTCCCCAAAATTGTCAATTTTTTTCTGAGGTCTTTCTGAAAAACAAAAAGAAAAGATCAATGCAAATATTATGCCAAAGTAGCATGGAGGATATCCCAATTAAATCTATCAGGAGGCACATAAACACACAAATACATTGTACACACACACACACACACACACACGCATACACACACACACAGGCAGAGAGCTTTTTTGTCCAGAGAACATTTTGGGAAAAAAAAAATTGTAAATAAGCATACTAGAAGAGAATTTACTGAACTGAGAAATCATTTAGAAACATTATCTCTGTTATTATGTTTTAAAATAATCTTGATTTATTTTAACATTATTCTTTTATTGTTTTGTTTGTTTAGTATATTCTTTGCTGTTCTTATATCATATAAATTCTTGTTATTGTGGTAGCTGTGTTGCATAAAGCAGACACTAACATGGATTAAAGGTTCTGGAACTCTGATTCTTAAGAAAATAAAAGGATAAAAATAAAAGTTAAGTTTCTAGGAAACTCTATTTACAGCACATATGCCGATGGATTAATTTATAACATACCTTTATTGTATTTAAATTTGCATTTTAAGTCAGGCCTGAATGAAACTTAAGTAAACCACAAATGAAAGGAAAGTGAGTTTTAAATGGCAGTGGATGGATTTCAAAATCACATGACCTAAGCCTTTCTTGGAAATAGTCAGACATCACAAATTTTTAAAAATACCAAAGCTACACAGGTATATTATTAATAAATTTGCTTAACAGACAAGATTGAGTCTGCATTGATTGCAACAACAGCACAAACGGAAGAGGTTATGATAGGAGACAATGAATCACAAATTGAAAAAAGTAAGAAAAAATTAAGTGAAAAGATGTGTCTGGTGGAGTTGAGGAGGGTAATCGACAGTTGAAGACATATGTACAAGAAAGGATGAAACAACAAGTAAGGACAGGAAAGTAGATTCCTGACTTTCCTTTTTCCTGGCCACTCTTATCTAGAAAATGAAGGGGCGAGAGAAAATAATTCACTCAGAATGAAGGCACAATATCAAGAAGGAGTAGGACAGAAATTTGAAACCCTTTCATAGTTTACTCTCTGGTTAAAATTGTAGGATATTTTTGAGACTTGGGGACATAAGGTTCCAAAGGACATCTCGGCTGTTAGCGACAAGATTGGATTACGTCTTGCACATCTTGGTGAAAAATAAGCAAATACAGTTACCTGGTCAGAGGGGGACCACCCAGATCACAACTTCTCAGATCTATAAGGGACACACTCAGGGTGCAGTCTCAGTGAGCACCAAAGCCCCAGTGAAGCAAGTCGCGCCCCAGAAGGGTGTCTCCAGCACAGAAGTTCTCCCACTGCAGACACAGCTGATTCTCACAGCCACTTGGCCGGGAGGTCAATTCCTCCCAGTGATCCTACAACAACCAAGGCATAGCTACAACAAGACTGTGCACAAAGCCCACAAGGGGGTGCACCAAGAGTGTCCACCTCAGGTACATGGGG